TTATTGAAGTAACGGTCTAGACGTTTGATGGAGACACTTGCAGCGGTGATGCCTCGTGACATTTGAGATGCTTGCGACAGGTTTCGGCGCAGCGTCCGGACCAATGTTATTGCTGTGAAAGCGACATCTGCCGTCAGGGGCTCTTTGCGTACCAGTACCTGCAAGGCAAATATGAGAACCAGTGATAGGTTGGGGATAGCTTCCGTAAGCTGATTTAGGGCGATATAACTAACATTCGACCATCAGTACGTCTTAAAGTAGTATCAGGAGAGGCCTAACTTACAGCATATTTAGGGACCATATTTTCTTTTGCTCACCGAACCTAATCTCGTTGACTCGGTTGATAATAGCGTCTTCCCAAGAGAAATATTTGATCGCTCTAATTGAGGCAAGGTACTCTGAAATGGCTGAAATTCTCGAGTCTTGTATTCTCTTCATGTCATGTTGGATACCTACCATACGCCGACCGATCAGAAGAGGAAGCGGTGATAGAAATATCATTACAACAATGCCAACGAGGGCTGACCAGTCTAACAATTTATACAGACCCCAGAGAGTTACGACTGATCCAACCGATACTCCGCAGGCTACTAGGACGATGTCTCGAGCTCTTATAATGGATTCTATATCAGCACCCATGAGGTTTGCCAAGCGTCCTGTCGAAGTAGTACCCTGCTTAATTGCTTCACCTTTGCCCACGGTAGCAATCTCAGTGAACACATCGTCGTCTAATTCCATCGAGTCCATTGCTTTATAGTACAACTCCTGCGTCAATGCAGTTCTGACACGTACAACTAAACGAGTCGATGTGAAGATATATTGTTGATAGCACACGGAACGCGACAGTGGGCCAACAAACAGGAGTATTAGCCAAACCCAGGGTCGAAATGGAGACTTCTCGGGGTTAGTTAGGAAGCCAAGCAGTTTATACATAGCGTATGGGGCTATGAGTTCGAGAAGGAAAGCCAAGGCAACCCAGGTGCTCATAGCGGCAATTTCCTTAGGTAGGAAGTATGCCAGCGTCCAGAGCGTGGACTTGCCTTTCCGGCGTGCCTCCTTAATCCTAGAAAGGAGAAGCTTCGGGTCGTCATACCATGGGAGTGTAGGAAGCTCATCTAGAGTCACCTGTCGACGCATACCCCTGATCATGAGAGGCGTAAGCCATTCGTACGTTACGAAGTACTCCAACCAACTGCAGGTCTCTTCGGGGGAGGGTTCTTTAATTGGCATCTCCTCGTAGAAATCGAGACTCAACGATGGCGGTATCCATTCTCTTGGTGTGACAAGAGCTACCAAAACACCAGCAGTCAAAGTTGATACACTACAGATTACTATTGGACTTATGCTCCTAGAGAAATCCGTATCGATATACGGAAGAAGTTCCTCTATAGCAAGGATGAATAGAGAACCAGTAAGGACGGCATTAACGTGGTGGAGGGCAACGTGTCTCCACTCTAAGTCATTGATCAGGCGCAAGATTCCAAGAATGAAGGCATAGGCCAAGACGGTAACATCTGTCCACCGGCCTGCATTCTGGGTAGCGGCAATAATCGTAAAGGCCAGAGAAGCAGCCCGAAATATCTGGCCGGATAACTCAAACGGTAATGATATTCCTTGGATATTCCCTTCAGGTTTAGAAACCTGGGAGTAAGGGCGGTGAAGTAAATATCTGATAATGACAAAGAAGGACGCAACGACGATAGTAAGTTGTAGGTAGCCGGCTTTAGCAAAATGAGAAAGGCTGTGAACCCATTGAAGATCCGAAGCACTAGAGGGGTCAGTTATTAGGGTCTTATCCTCTTACTTATCCGGGGAGAACGTACGTATTCTTTTCATAGGCGCTCTTCAAAGTGAAAAGAGATTGGGAGCGGAAAGGAACCGCGTCCCAACCATAGTCTCTGAAGATGACTTGATCCATGACTTTTCATGGTAGTGACCCAAGCCTCAACATCTAGATATGGTGAGTCGTGATAGATACTCAATTAATCAACACAGACATTGAGAAGAGTCAACCTGTTATTCGGGTAATTAATACTCGGTACCAAACTATCTGGGTAGGTAGATTGCGTGCTCGGCGATAACTACAGCTAGGATAGGCTCGGAGCCTAGTTCAGAAAGGACCCCTGCCAAGAGGGGAAAATTTAATCTTAATTGCCTGAAGCTATTCTGACCAGACTACGGATCCTATGTTACGGGCTTCGATATATACCCAGCAAAGCAGATCTACACCGGTATACCGGCGGCGCCTACGCCTACCTCAGCTATTCGATACCTACATCCAAGGTGGGTTGCAGTTCTTTCACCGAATGAGTCACATTGTCTTGATCCGGGTAGGTAACGTCCAAAGATGCATATGTGTACCGCAGCATAGTGGAGCGTCAGCAGGATCACCTCATTCGGATGCACCATGAGCTCTTCTTACTAGCCAGCGGAACGATAAGATATAATTTGATGAGCGACGAGAGAGGTACACCGACGAGTAAGAAGACGGCGACGGTCAACAGCCGGCCTATGTATAGTATAAATGATGCTGAGCATGAGACTTGGAAGAATTTGGCTTGGGGTAGTGCAAGCAGTCAATCGGATAGTTTTCGAACCAAACATATTTCCTCATTAGGTATACCAACTACCGGGTAGTATTCGTAGATCGCTGGTTTTGTTAATATGCCGTACCTTAGATATATGATTTAGATTAGGAGTCGTAATTGTAGTTGTAAGAATGTGGAATCTCCGAAAAAGACTAGAGATCTCAAGATAGTGAATACAGTGCGTTATCACACTCTTTACTTTGTACTTTGTACATATCTTCTAATGCGGAATTAGGTAATCAGATTAAGCTTTAGCAGGGCTGGGTATATGTATGTACCTAGGTACATACTTATGTAAGTACAGCGGGGTACGTATCAGCCACGAATAGGCAAGGCGTGGCGCGTATCTTGACTTGGTTCGAGCTTGTTGCCTTGACTTTTTGCCTTCCGAATACCTATAATATTGATAAAGCGGTAGAACGCGAAAACGCCATACGTACATGTAATATACCAGTGACTCACCACCGGAATACTTATAACGATATGAAATGCGAACAATATACTGAATTGTCGCTCGTTTCTACCTCTCGAGGCTTGCGCTAACGTTTATCTACGACGCTCCCCAATTCGATAATATCCATTCTTCCTGGTAGTATCGACATAATGGACGACGACTTCGCCGAGCTCGAGCTTTTGTCGCTCGTGTCAAAGGTCACCTCCGAGCTTCAGAATCACTTGGGCATTTCCGAAAAGACCCTAGCCGAATTTATTATTGCTAAACGACTAGAATGCAGCAGTTTCTCCGAGTTCAAGAGCGAGTTGGCCAAATTGGGCGGCGCAAGTTGGCCTGACAGTTTATTCGACAGTGTTGACCGTCTAGTCCGGACTATGCACCCTAAATTCAGGGCCGAGAAGGAAGCAGCAGCAGAAGACCATCAGCCAGTTCGGACCTTTGAGGAGAAAGAGACACTTTTCAAGGGCCTTAGCATTCCTGACAAGGAAGTTAAGGCTGGAAATGGGGACGATATCGACGAGACGTTAGCGCTATTGGAAGGATTGGAAGGTAAAGCTAGAGGCACACGTTCAGAAAGAGCATCGAGGAAACGGTCACGTAGCCCCGAGAGGGAAGACGGCACGGACTTGGGACATAAAAGAAAAGAGAGATATCGTTCTAGGGATCGTAAGGATCGTAGAGATCGAGGTTATGACGATGATGATGATTATAAAAGTAGCTTTAGAGAACGAGGAAGCCGAAGGGATGGGCGCGACGAACATCGATCACACCGCAACGGTGACAAAGAAAGGAGACGGAAATATGACGACGAGGACGACGATGATCGTAGACTCAAGTACGCTCCCGAACCCGAAGTCGACGATTCACCTGTATTATACAAAGTATACGATGGTCATGTCACTGGTCTTAAGGATTTTGGCGCGTTCGTCAATTTACATGGTGTGAAGGGCAAAGTAGACGGAATGGTACATATCTCAAATCTGGTGCAAGGCCAGAGAGTCAACCACCCTTCGGATCTCTTGACAAGGGGGCAGGATGTCAAGGTCAAAGTTGTCAAGATTGAAGCGAACCGGATAGGACTATCTATGAAGGACGTCGACCAAGAGACAGGTATGGACCTTGCACCTCAAGCCAGAATACAGTCGGGCGCCAATATGGAAAGTCTTGGTAGTCGGAACGGTGTAGCCCCTCGCAACGACGATAATTTGGCTGCTCTTTCTAATTATACTGGCCCGCCGAGGCCGCATAAAAAGAGGATGACCTCGCCAGAACGATGGGAGATACGGCAACTTATTGCTTCGGGCGTGGCTAAAGCATCGGACTACCCGGATTTAGAAGAGGACTACAATGCTACCTTGAGAGGGGAAGGCGAGATGGAATTAGAAGAGGAAGTCGATATTGAAGTGAGGGAGGAGGAACCCCCCTTCCTCACGGGACAAACAAAGCAATCACTTGAATTATCGCCGATTAGGGTTGTGAAGGCGCCAGATGGTTCACTGAACCGTGCAGCAATGTCAGGTACCGCACTAGCGAAGGAGCGAAAAGAACTACGGCAACAAGAAGTGGAAGCTGCGCAGGATGAGTCAAAGGTTGATCTTGCATCTCAATGGCAAGACCCAATGGCAAATCCCGACAATAGAAAATTTGCTAGTGATTTGCGCACTACAAAAACAATCGCGCCAAAACCTGACGCCGTACCTGAATGGAAGAAAGCCGTCGCACCTAAAGATCAATCATTTGGTAGACGAACAACCATGTCTATCAAGCAGCAGAGGGAAAGCCTTCCCGTCTTCACTTTCCGAAATCAGCTTATTAAAGCTGTGCAGGAGAATCAAATCCTAATTGTCGTAGGCGAGACTGGATCCGGCAAAACTACTCAACTCACTCAGTATCTTGCTGAGGCCGGCTTCACCAACAATGGCATGATAGGTTGCACGCAACCACGTCGCGTCGCAGCCATGTCTGTGGCAAAGCGTGTCGCGGAAGAAGTTGGCTGTCAGCTGGGTCAAGAGGTCGGCTATACCATCCGTTTCGAGGACTGCACGAGCCCAGCGACCAAAATCAAGTACATGACAGATGGTATGCTGGAGCGTGAGATCCTGCTTGACCCTGATCTAAAGCGATATTCTGTCATCATGTTGGATGAGGCCCACGAGCGAACTATCGCGACTGATGTTCTTTTCGCACTTCTCAAGAAGACCGTCAAGCGTCGAAGCGACTTGAAGATCATTGTCACATCGGCTACTCTAGACGCTGACAAATTCTCGGCCTACTTCAACGAATGCCCCATCTTCACCATTCCCGGTCGCACGTTCCCTGTGGAGATCTTATATAGCAGAGAACCTGAGTCGGACTACCTCGATGCAGCTCTGGTGACGGTCATGCAGATCCACCTTACGGAACCCCCTGGAGACATATTGGTTTTCCTTACCGGCTCGGAGGAAATTGACACCGCGGCAGAAATTCTGTACGAACGGATGAAGGCCCTCGGCCCGGGTGTCCCCGAGCTGATTATTCTTCCGGTATACTCAGCACTCCCTAGTGAGATGCAGAGCAGGATTTTTGACCCTGCACCTCCTGGCTGCAGAAAGGTTGTGATAGCTACCAATATCGCCGAGACCTCTATCACAATTGATCACATCTACTACGTTGTGGATCCCGGCTTCGTCAAGCAGAATGCTTACGATCCAAAGCTTGGCATGGATTCTTTGGTTGTCACGCCGATCTCACAAGCTCAAGCTAACCAACGCGCCGGCCGTGCTGGACGAACCGGTCCTGGTAAATGCTTCAGATTGTATACTGAGGCCGCCTATCAGTCTGAAATGCTTCCGACCACCATTCCGGAGATCCAGCGCCAGAATCTAGCGAATACAATTCTTATGCTCAAGGCCATGGGCATCAATGATCTCCTTCACTTCGATTTCATGGACCCGCCACCTACAAACACCATGTTGACTGCCCTGGAAGAATTGTATGCCCTGTCAGCATTGGACGACGAAGGCCTTCTAACTCGTCTTGGCCGTAAGATGGCCGATTTCCCTATGGAACCTGCCTTAGCTAAAGTCCTGATCGCCGCGGTTGATATGAGCTGTTCCGATGAGATGCTTAGTATCGTAGCCATGTTGAATCTCAACGTGTTTTACCGACCGAAGGAAAAACAAGCCCAAGCCGATCAAAAGAAGGCCAAATTCCACGATCCGTCCGGCGATCATCTTACCCTTCTCAACGTTTACAACGCCTGGAAGCAGAGCGGCTTTTCGGCTCCGTGGTGCTTTGAGAACTTCATCCAAGCACGTTCAATGAAGCGAGCGAAAGATGTCCGCGAGCAGATAGCGAAAATTATGCAGCGCTATCGACATCCCATCGCTTCCTGCGGCGGGGATACCCAGAAGGTCAGACAAGCTCTGTGCTCGGGCTTCTTTCGCAACTCAGCAAGAAAGGACCCGCAGGAAGGCTACAAGACTTTGGTCGAGGGTACACCAGTCTACCTACATCCGAGCTCAGCACTATTCGGGAAACAGGCAGAGTGGGTGATCTATCACACGCTAGTTCTCACTACGAAGGAGTACATGCATTACACCACTAGCATCGAACCAAAGTGGCTTGTCCAAGCTGCACCTACTTTCTTCAAGGTTGCGCCTACGGACAAGCTCAGCAAGCGTAAGAAAGCTGAGAGGATCCAGCCGCTGTACAACAAGTATGCGGCGGAAGACGACTGGAGACTCAGCGCCCAGCGAAAGGTTGGACGGTCTGGCGGAGGAGGTGGTACCTGGGGTTAATAGTAGTGGCGTTCTGTGTACAGCTGCCCTCATTGAAGATGATCTCGAGATGGATCAAACGGCGGACCGACAATGCGTCCCCCATAGCCCCGTATTCCTTCTTGCTAGCGGCTCTGGAAGGTTGATATTTAGCACATGGGAGTTTGGCGTATACCGTACCGCGATCTTCACCGCGCGTAGTATTAAGCAATAGAAATTTATATTAAATCCTTGTGTTTCTGTTGCACAGACTATTCTACAGTGTTCCACTGGCAAACACAAACCCGCTTCCCGTCTTTTAAATCACCGTTTCTATTAATAACCTAATTCCCTGATACCGTTCGGATGTTGGGGATGCCACAGGCGCCCTTGCGTGGTACAGCCACGCACAGCTCAGGAGAGGCTGACGTATACGTCCGAAACATATCATCATCGCAAACCGGCGGTGTGAAGAATCAGCTGTTTACCCATATTTCCTAGTTTGCGGTGTTGGTAGTTTTATTATATAGTTGTTGTCCCGGTACACTCACTATGAACCATGATGCTGGGATATCCGAAGGTACTTTTCAAGTAGCTGCCAGGTAACTCATATGTATCTAGATAGTGCCTTGAATTTAAGTGACGTGGTTGGGTTCCTATGGAGGCATAGGTGTAGTATAATCCTTTGAGGTAGCACGACAACTCAGATACGCACACCTTGCATACTCAGTCTCGATCTAATTAGGCAGGGAACCTCGTCGACGATAAGACTAAATTTACTACTGGGCACGTCGGTGCCGAATGGAATCTGCGCTCCGGATTAGATCGGAACGGACGTGGAAGGGATAGAATGCGAGTTTTGTTTGGACGGTGCGGCTCTGATCTGGGCACGGCTTTCGAGATCAAGAACTAGAGTATAATTCAGATGAACGCTAGCTACGATACGAAATAAGAGGACTATTCTTAGTTTAAGAGTCTATATGTAGGTAATGATTCTAGTTGTCTGCGTAGCGGTGCCGAGATTTAGACGGCAGTAGTCAAAGAATTCCGAAGAACTCCGAGGCAACGGAGTTGGATATTTCAAACGGCATGCTACTTGGTTTAAGATAATTTGAATAGAATAATTTCATGTTAACTGATTTCCTTGAACTCCTTACACAATAGCCATAAGTGCTAATTACCTTGTATATACATGGTTGCCGTGGGACCTGAAGTCTCAGATCTACTAAACTATCGGCCATCGATCGGTATCAATGACCGAGACGCCACTTACATACTTATCTCGAAGTCCACGAGGTATTGGAATGCGTTGCCGTCATATTTACCTTTGGCTCGAGCCTTGTTCTCCATAAATAGAGGCCATATGAGACACTGCTGAGAGACACTGACTCAGCCACCTCCGACGAGATTAATTATTCCGAAGAAACACTGACGCAAAAATTGCTTGCTACGTACGCAAAACTGTTTACGAAAGCTACGAGCGGTATGGAAAATGTATTATTATCAGGGATATCCGTGAGAAAACTAAGACCTAGTGCTCTGAAGCACGAGTTACCAGGACAATGCGTCCTTTTTCGCCTTACCGTCATTCCAAGACATTACTGACATCCGGGTCCGTATTGACATCTTAGACGTAGCAAAACTAAGAGAGTGAATTCGCATGTGATGATCCCTACGTGCAGCCCGTATAGAAGCACAAGTTCCTCATCCACGATCCTAGCTCTCGATATGTAGTAATAATTAGGGCTCCGGCCCGTCGATATATCGGCGCCGGCGTGCCGGAGTGAAAGATGCCTCGTAGCTACGAGAAGTCGTAAGTTCGTATAGTAGTATAGTATTATACGGACATATGTATATGCAGTAAATAAAAACACGGCCTTACTCCTAGCTTGCACCATCACCAACACTCCCTCGGTATCCTGTGTATAAATCACACATACTTACAAGCTCACATACATACACATATTACACAGCGTCGGCACTTCGACGCCCGTCAATATATATATAAATTACCTACAGTAAGCCACAGATCAGGTCAGACCAGATCCGTCTTCCCACAAACCATGGGCGGCGACAAGTCCCCTATGTATACATTTCCTCTCGTGTTAGGCCCAAGGTAGAGAGAGTAAGATGGGTTAATATCGCGGCCCTGGGTTAACGTTCCATCGTGCGTGCCAAGGCCTAGGTAATCCAGCAACGCGGCGACGGCGTTTCATTTAGAGTGCCTGGCAGACTGCCGAAGCGAGGGCATGGCAATGTCGCTGGACCCCTACATAACAACGCTATCCATGGTCGCGTGCAGTACGTATGAGATGGAGTCGTCGGCCTCTTTACATACGTAGCGTAGTATTAGCTATGTATGTATGTATATGTATGTAGACGCACCTAACATGTACCTAACCTACATACCGTACGGCATACATACAATGAATGAATGCAGCCATGTATGCAGGCACGGGACTTCGAAATTGGGGCGTGGGGAAGCGTAGTATATAGCGAGCGACATTTGAAATCTCCAACGGACCAGAGCGAATAGGGGATGGGAAAAGGGAAAAGGGGAAAAGGGGAAAGGGTCTTGGGGGATTTTAACCAACGCACCCCAATACCACCCACTCACCTTACCACCCCCTAACCCCTAACCCAATCAATATTTCCCGGAATACCGGTATAAATCGCTGTTGATCGCAACCCTCCCAATTCCGCGGGGAGGGTCTTGTGGCTCTCTTGCCCACGGCCTCATTGCCTATTATGACGTCGATCACTCTACTTCAACCGGTCGAACGAATTCCCAGAGTGACGCCGATCGCAGTCATCTTAGGGACCACGGGACGTTGGGGATCGGGCCAGCCTAATTCTGCACGTACAAGCACGCGCCGGCGCCGTACCAAAGCCCTACGTGTCTAACGAGGAAATGACCTTCGTTGAGGAGAACCGTCCCTGAATTATCATTGGTAGCTTGGATTAGACCCTTGGAGAAAATTATGAATCTTCGCTTGGTTGATTACATAGTGCTATACTATAGGAAAAGCACCTAGTTTGCGACTGCGGTGCGCAGGTGACTAATAATAATATTAATGAATGGTATTGGTATCTACTAGCATCCCGTGCCAATTATCCTGAACGCCAATTCGCCTATATTCCCCATTCTACGAAGCGGTGTGTGATTTGTGTGATTCAAGCTACCGCTGCTGCCGCCACCAGAGTGTCGAGAGCAGAGCTTTGCGTGCCAGCTGTCGCATTTCCGAAAGGTCCTGCCCAAGTGGTTCCAAGCTGGTTCTTGTCGTTGCGATTCTTAGCCCAAATCGTATCCGCGTTCGTGAGCAAGAAGTTCTTGATGGGCTCCATAGGTGCGGCCTCTTGCAGGTAGTGTAAGTTGCGCATGAAAACGCCCTTGAACTGCGCACCGTCGCTACCGCAGTTCGGTTCGCAGCCCTCGAAGAGAATACCATCCTTGGATAGCTTAGTAATAGCAGCTGAAGCAATAGTCTGCGCCGTGGTAAGTAGCGATTTGTCGCCCGTGGCTTTGGAAAGCTCCACCAATCCACCCAGAATAACCCCCTGGTTGTAAGTCCAGGTTTGCATGCCGTTGTTCTTGCAGTCATCAGTAAGCCCGTCGTTGATCAAATTATCCTTATTAATCAGACCGCTATTCTTGAACCAATTCCATTGAGTTTGGGCGATGTCAAGAAAGTAATCCTTCCGAGAGGGAATCCGGTTCGCAAGGGATGCCGCCACAGCGAGGTACAACTCATTTGCGATGGCATTAGTGTATGGAGTTACTTTACTCCAGAAGATGCCACCGCAAGTAGAGTTACCCCCCTTCATATCCTCGAAGATCTCGACTGCGGCTTGGATGTACTGCTGATCTCCAATACCCTTGACACCAACATCGTGGCTGTGGATCATAGCTAACGCCCACCAGCCTTCATCGTCGTAATAATCATTAAGAAAGTTGTCGAAACCCCTCTTGCCAATCTCTGCTCTTTTTGATACTGGTACTCTGACGTACGTTGATATGGGAAGTCCTATCGGGGACAGAATTTTTGTCGCTTGTACTTGGGTTTTTTGCGCTTGGTCATACTACGGCGCTTATAATTAGCAATTGGCCAAGCGCAAATAATCTCGGGTTTTGTTTTTGAATAGCATAGCTTGTTTCACGCAATTTAGGCGCCCAAGCAAAGCCAGGGAGAGAGAGAGAGAGATGTGAAAATTTTGGGTATACTTACGGTGTTCTGAATGATCTCTGGGATATTCAGGCTGATGGAAGCTGCCGGATCAACGAGCGCAAAGTCGGCCAACACAGTTAAGCAATTGGCACTATTCCACCACCCAGTGGTATCCCAAAGACCCGTCTCGCGATTGTACCATGTTTGCAAAGCTTTCAATCCGTCGACGGTGTGCGAGGCATATGTTGCCTGGTCTGCGCGGTTGATGTGACTAGACATTAAGAAAATAGCCCTGGAGGCCAGGGAGCCTACGAAAGAAGAGGAAACCATGGCGACGATATTATAGTTAGAAGAAGAATACGTTTCGTATAAGGGGCAGAATATTTCCAGAAACCTGCCGGCAAAAGAATGACTTTATATAAAAATATAGGAAAAGACTGTGAGTCGCCACTTGATGGAGTGAAAAGTGAATGTAGTGAATGTAGTGAGTGTAAAGTCGATCACAGACACAGGATATTAAGGGAGAGTAACGAGGATGTGGACCGTGCCATCGAAACAACCCCGGCACCTGGGCAGAGAGCTCACATATCATCGGTACATAATACGTACATGGTCACAACATTACTATTACTCACATGAGCCTGCCACGGATCTGATCAGACATGTACAAAAGGTAATAATACGAATTCTAGACATGGGTCGTCTCGGCGACCCGTAGATCAGGTTGACAGTAGGGCTGGTAGGACCAGGCAGGACTCTGTGCGAGCCGAGCCAGCGGGCGCGTTTCTTGGACCCCAATGAGGATGATCGCGGCATTAGATGATTGGCGGTGCGTAGGCCACGGTAGACCTTGGTAGACCTTGGTAGACCTTTGGTAGACGAGTGGTACCTACATAGACGACTGACAATCGTAGAAAGGGATGAACAAGTTTGGGTGTTAGGCGCAAGAAATGCCGGGTTAAGCTTGTGGCAGAGGAACTAAGATCTCCGATAGGGTTGTGTTGTGTTTCAGAACAGGCATGATTCTCATGCTAGACTTGTACTCGACTTGTACTAGACTTGTGCTAGACTTGTGCTAGACCCCCGTCTGCCCGTGTTGCATGAGCAACTAATAAAGATAATAAATCCCGGAGCGGTATGTAGACCGTAGGGATCCACTAAAAAGTCCGCTTAGATCTTGCCGACCTTTTTTGAGCAGATCTTCCCTGAACTCATCTATTTTCGAAAAAAGTTGCCATATGGTCACAAGAATGCACCGGATAGCTGCAGGCGACCTCGTGGCCTTTGTGGTCCTCGTGGTAGACCAATGCCTGCTATAGCCGCCGAACTTTGAACAAAAAGACGCTGATAAGTCCAAACTTGTGTTGTTGAGAGTTTGGTGGTACGTCTCTCAGGGCGTTTAGATGAAACTGGGGTTGACCAGGCTGCGTTAATTAAGGTACGGATCTAAGTTATCTAAGTTATGCTAGATAACGGATTTACCTTTATCCAGCTATTGATTTCCCCTTCCCCTATTCGATGAGGTGCTTACCTACTCGAGCTAGTACCTTAGGTACATATGTATGTAAGTACCGTCCAAGTAAAATAGGTGGGACACTTTAATAATAGCGGCCTATCAGCAAAAGGAGGTTAGCGGTGGGGTACAATACACCGTGGCGGGTCGGGTATTACCTAAACTACCTATTATGTGGAGTTTACTCTTATTCTTATTCCGCCCCTCCGTCCAATTGTACAACAGCAACTCCAAAAGCCAC